CTTTTTCTAAGTAGGCTATAAGTCAAGTATACTTAAATATAATTTTAAGTATATTTCTGAGAAGTACATAAAGCCCATTTCTGAGAAGTACATAAAAAGTAGACTAAAAGTATACTTTCCTATTTTTTAGTTTAAAAGAAGTATACTAATAGCACACTTGAATAAACGTATTTTTCGTAAGGGTAGTTATGGTTTCAGCCAAATTAGCTTGTTAGGACTTTGGTGTTACAGTCATAAATTAAATGTTTGCGTGTGCTCTTGTTCTCAGGTGCTGTGCTTGGCGTGACCTACACACTTGCCGTAGCTACAGGCATAACTTATTTCCAACATGCAGATGGTGACTCAGGACGCAACATTTTTAACATCGGCTTTACAGTGTTTATGTCATTAGCACTGCCGCGCTGGTTCAAACCCCACTCTAGTTTTATACAAACAGGTATGGTATCGGGCTGCGGCTTCATTAAAGGACATTATGTACATCATTTGGACATGAGTCTGTTTCATTCTATGAATTTTCATCTTCTTGTGTTCAGGTGTACACAGTGTTGGCGTTTTTCTCCAGTCTCTTTTAACCTTACCCATTTTCTTTGTGGGGGTTTTGGCTTTTCTTCTAGAGCACACTGTTTCAGGTAAAACAGCACTGTTCAAAACTTTGTGGTCTGAAAGATTTTTTTTTTAATGTTTTTGAAAGAATTCTCTCATGCTCCAGCTGTATTTGTTTGTTAGATAAAATACAGCAAAAACAGTAATATTGTAAAATATTATTACATTGTAAAATAATTGTTTTCTATTTGAATATATTTAAAATTGAATTATTTCTCTGATGGTAAAGCTGAATTTTAAGAATCGTTACTCCAGTCTTAAGTGTCACATGATCCTTCAGAAATCATTCTAATATGCTCAATTTGCTGCTCAAGAAACATTTTGTATTATTATCTATTGAAAACAGTTGTGCTGCTTAATATTTTTGTGGAAACAATGATACAGTTTTATTTCAGAAACTTTGATGAAAAGAACAGCATTTGTTTGAAATAGAAATCTTTTGCAACATTATAAATTTCTTTACCGTCACCTTTGATCAATTTCATGCGTCCTTGCAGAATAAAAGTACAAATTTCTTTCAAAGAAAGGAAGTCATGGCCTAATGGTTAGAGAGTCGGACTCGTAACCCAAAGGTTGCGGGTTCGAGTCTCGTACCGGCAGGGATTGTAGGTGGGGGGAGTGAATGTACAGCGCTCTCTCCCACCTTCAATACCACGACTGAGGTGCCCTTGAGCAAGGCACCAAACCCTGCGCTCCCCGGGCGCCGCAGCAAAAAAAAAAAATGGCTGCCCACTGCTCCGGGTGTGTGTTCACGGTGTGTGTGTTCACTGTTGTGTGTGTGCACTTTGGATGGGATAAATGCAGAGCACTAATTCTGGGTATGGGTTACCATACTTGGCCACATGTCACGTCACTTTAAAAAAAAAAAAAAAAGCTCTGATTGAATGTCTGTGATTTTTGGCATTTAGGGACTTTGCCTGAGAGGGGTCTTGTGCGACCTGAAGGCACAAAGAAGATTCTGTCTCTGGCCGATCAGCAGCAGGGATACAGCCATAGTCCAGACTCAGTGTATGGCCCTCCTCCACCTGTGATGAAAGTGCTGGACCTGAGCGGCTTGAGAAGCGTCCTCTTCTGTGCCTGCAGAAGCCCACCTGTTGAAGAGGTGGTAGTGACAGTACCAGAGATGTCTAGCTTATTACCTGACAAGGATGCTGGTGTTAGCAGTGGCTGAATTTTTGCACCTCAGCCCATCTTTTATTTAATTTTTATTTTGTATTTAACTTCTGGTTTGCATTTTATAAATTGTATTATTTATTATTTAGCCTTCTGGTTGAGAACCACTGGATAGAGTGCAACAGTGGGGTTCTGGAAGTGAAATCCCATTCATTTTCTCTATAGGGGAACTGATTTTTAAGATAACGTAAACCTTTAAAGAAGGCCTGTTTTGAACTCCAAGATTCTCAATCGGTGGTATATGCTTTTCTTGGAAAAACTACATTACCGATGATACCATGCAGAAAATTCCACCAATGAGAGAGTCGCAGCAAGCAAAAGAATGTCCACAGCATGAATCACGGCAAATATCATAAGTCGGTGTACCTACTCTCAAAATCCTTAACTATTTCTGTATGTATATGTATGAATATTTTCAATAAGTTTAAAATGTATTGCTTTTATAGCCTTAATTAACAGCTTTAAAAGCAAGTTTAATTTTACCAACGTTTTTAATTTATGCCATTCGCAATGCTTCATGGGATTTTAGTTCTTTCCCTCACTAAATCCAGTACACAGTATGGTACCTTTGTCTTTATGTCCGATTTCTGTGCTTCAAATAAAAGTTTGTGATGATGTGATTCACCTCATAGCTGGTTGATGTGGTTCTTTGCTTGTAATGCCATAATTAAGTATTTTTTAAAATCCCTATTGGAAAAATGAATGGGAAAAAAAATACTTCCAGAACCAACGATTCTATTGATACACTCTATCAATACACCCTATACATTTTAGCATGGAGGTCTGAAAACAGAGACATTTTGTGAAGAGACTAAAGAAATACAAAGGCAGATATTTCCATAATCTTTAATTCTGAAAAATAGATCTTTAAATAGTTTTACAAATATTATATAATTTCTGACATCTTTAAGTAAAATGTTAATAATGCCACAAAACAGATAAATACAGTAAGTTGAATGGGAAATTGAGTATTACGGCATAAAGCACACATAAGGACTACATAAACTGGCATAAACATTGCTACACATTGCACAGAGTAAACTCTTAATTTGTTTGAATGAAGCCTTCATAAAAGTACTCAAAACCCTTATGTATGCTAGAAGGAGAAATACAGTGTACAATGTGACCATTAAATACTTGATTAAGTTGGAAAAGACACCTCTACGTTTACAGTGAGAAACATTTAACTGACCATATGAATGAACGCAAAACAGTTATCATGAACCGCTCTGGACCTGAAAGTACATTTTCCTGATGTTTTAAAGGCCTTAAACCAGTTGTAAAGTGTACGTTTCTGTGGGTGTGTTTGTGTGTACCTTCCACTCACAGAACTTCCTCCTCCGTCTCAAACCTTATCAGGCCACGTTGGTCTGATTGCCTGTGGTTGAGTCACTGCATACCTGAGTTTAAAGCAAATTCATCTATAGTTTCCTCACTTCAACAGCTATAACGATATGATTAGGGAATGTGTATGTGTGTGTATAAGAGAAAGAGACTGAATAGGAGATATCTGAGCGGAAGTGTGTGCGTCTTGATATATTTGTGATAATGTTCCAGTGTAGGCAGTAAAGAAAACCCATCTGAAAAGTGTTAAATATGGGTTTTAAAGATCAATTTTGTCCCGTCCAATGTCCACTTCCTCAAATGAGAGTTAACCCACAGAATAGCTGCATCCTTTCTAGTATTTAGGGTCTATTCAGGGTCATAAGTGATTGTGTTCTTCATTTCAGGACTCATTTCTTACTTCATTTTCTTTTAGATCCTTCCAAAACTTTTTTTTTTCGTGTGACATTCTCATTCCCTTTTCATCTATCATTGTCCATCATGCTCCAGGGATGGAAGTGTGTTGGATCCAGCACATGAGTCCCAACCCAGTGCAGGAGTGAGGAATACCAGTGTATCCCCACAGCCTGATGTCCAACTGTCCCTCCCCAGCTATAAAGTACCCTGAGTGGGCCGAACGCCCAGTGAGCCAGCCAGTGCTGGTCCACGGCTGCGTAGCAGGAGGAAACCACGCCATTGACCACCACCGTACCGTGGCGGGTGAGTGGCGCAAAAACCCCCTTGTCCTCCTGTATTTGGATCCTAGTGACCCGGGACAAATGTCCCTGCTGTCCTGCTCCTCGTGTGGACACCACACACTGACCTGGCAGCACATCACTAGCAAATATAGACTTCAGCTCTGCACTCGCTACAGGCCCTGAGCAGTTCCCTTCGGATACAAACAGGAGATGGGCCGCCGTCAAGCTCAGTTTAGCGCCGGAGTCCGTCTCTATGGCGTAGAACTGCTTCTCTGCGGAAGGATCGCGGTCTAGGAAGGCGATGACTTCGCTGTAGATGAGCTGCCCGCTTCCGTCGCACTCTGATGAAGCGAGTACTTTCTCTCCAGGCTGTAAGCTGTCCATAGTCTTCACGCTTCCATCCTCAACGGTGACAAGAGCCAATGCAGGAAAACAACCGCCGGTTTTTGCAGCCACAGAGTGCTCTGAAAGAGAAATAGAGAGAATATAATGACAAATGAGCAATCGTATTGGCCGTTTTCTCTACTGATGTGCACAGTAGCCTAAAACAATTCCAAAGGTCATGTGTTCGTTAAAGCTTGGGTTCGGATTGTTCAAATGGCACAGTGCCTTCCTCAGATTAATCTTTAAAACACACACACCCAAGCACAAACACACTCCCGCTCTCATTGTAAACCCATAAAAATCCAATCAAACTGAAAGTTGCAGTGGCAAAATAACCTGGCGTGTGCAGGCAAACATTTCAAGCACCATCCTTCAAGCTAATTCGTTTTTTTTTCTTTTCGCACGACTCCAGTCAGCGGGTAAAAATGCAATAAAAGCTAATAAATAACCACTTGATTGAATCTCAGCTCCCTGTGACTTCTGTCCGACAGACGTGACTGGGGTCTGGAGCGACGTATGCACTACAAAAATGAGTCTCAAGTCTCTGTTGAGTCCTACACAAATATTTGGAAAAGGTAAGTACCAAGGCCAGGTGATAAGACAGGCTGAGATAAGAGATCTGAGAAAAGGGGACAACAGAGTTGCCGTCTGGAAAACAAAGGAGTTGGTTAATCATCTCACAGCACTTTAGCAGCCAGTCCACTTCTTGAGGCACATTCTCTCTCTCTTACGTAAACACGTATACATATTTACTCTTATGCACTTCTAGCATATGTATGTAGGCCTATGTGTGTGCAGAAGTGCAACAAGTAAAAACTCACAACCCCAAATTCAAGACTGTTTTGTTTATATTTGAGTTATAAAGATTTTTTATATGACATTTCATAATGTTGTATCTTCTGGTAAATGTGTTTTTCTTATTTTTATACTGCAGTAAGTGCCTGAATTCAGACAAATCTGACAAGAGTTGAAGAAGCCAGCTGAAGAACACACCTTTAGAGGACTTTGATAAAGCAGAAGTAGACAACAGGTCTTGCTTGTGTTTGCATGCTCTATCAGAAAGATAACAGAAGGGCCTCAAATATATCCACACACAGGTCTCATTCCTCTCTAGCAGCGGTGAAACACTCTACAGCCTTTAAAAATGTATAGTCAGACCCAATCCAAATCTACAGACCTTTTTTTTGCGTTTTCTGCACTGAGGAAGATCTGATGAATTCTGTTTTCTGAATTCTGTGAACATTTTTTGTTGTTCCAATTCTGTATGTTTGTGTAGTAAGGATGTGTGTTAAATGAAATTATTATTTCAACCCATCTTCAATGAGAACATAAAAGACCTGTGCGCAGTAGGTAATTTTTAGCATCCAAAAAAATTAAAATGCATGTCAAGAGACTGTCAGAAGAGACAATAAAACACTGGGTGCACTTTAACTTTCCCAGTTGTCTGGCCAATAATTTGGTCTCTGGTGACTCAGGTATAGAGGCAGGTGTTTAAGGTTTAATGATGTGGTCTGTTACCTTCATCCCAGGTCTGCCACTTATCTCACCCAAGTTAATGAGAAATGACCACCTTCACCACAATAGGACACACCTGATTTAACTGCACACTGAACGCATATGAACCTTTCAGTCTGGAGTCTCTTTAGTTCAAACACCAGAGATCAGACTGGACGGTGTTCTACAATCAATCATAAACCTGTATCAAAAACAATGCCTTTCTGTTTTAATCCACATAATATTCCAATTTTACCCATTTTATATGGGAAGCACTAGTAAAATGATGAGTATTGCTCAACTATTCATGTAAACTATTGAAGTTAAACGAAAAAAATCCAGGGCTGAATATTACATTATATTATTCTGCATAGCACATTGGATATAGTTAAGTGGCATGTAGTTGTATTGTAAATAAACAGAGTGATATATGTAGTCTCAGCCCTACCTGACTTGACGCTGCAGTGGATGTAAGATTTGGACTCATAGTAGACCCAATCAAAACCAGCCTCCACCGCTAGACGTGCCAACATGCCATATTTATTACGGTCGCGATCTGAGGTGGTGATATCGACAGCCCTTCCTTCGTAATGCAGTGAATCTTCAAAGTGATTGCCGTCTTCATCCCAACCCTCGGTCACCCTGAGCTTCACCCCGGGCCACATGTTCATCACAGAGATAGCCAGAGAGTTCAGCTTATCTTTACAGCGCTGTGAACGCAACAAGGAAAGATGTTTAGACCTGGGTTACACACGTGGAAGATCATGGCCTGCATTTACTGGAATTTTACAAGAAATACGCAAACAAGACAATTATAACTCCAAAGGGCAAAACAGACTGAATCACACACACACACACACACACAAACTTACATCACAGGTCAAGTCAAAAGACAGTTGATTCAAATGACGCTGAATTCTGTTGTTGTGGTATAAAAATAAAAACACATTATCCAGAGATCTGCAAATTATACTTTAAAGAGTCCAAGATCACCTCTTCAATGAGTTGAAGTGTATGGCCATAACACCACAAAAAATATGCAAAATAAACGAACAGGCTAAATCTTTAAATCTTGTTTACATGAAGATGATTTGATCAC